GTCTATCGGCCTAGATCATCAAAAGTCTGATTAAAGAAAATATACCTCTCAACAGGTATCGGATTGGTATTCATTTTTTATACTTCTGGGAAATCATGTCTAGTTGAAAAGGCGATTTCCTAGAAAAGGGGGAATTGCGGTTCGATTCCCGAAAAGAGATTTATTTTCTTTGATAAGACTTCCGATGATCTAGGCTGGTAAAAGTTAGTTTCACCGCTTGTAAGTAAACATAGATGTCTACTCAATCACGTGCACCTATTAAAATAACGATCATATTTATAGATATTTCCGCATGGATAAAAGGCATTAATTATCGTTAAGTAAGGCATTAACTTAACGTTAAGTAATATAATATAGTATATATATATATATATATATATATATATATATATATATATATATATATATATATATATATATATATATATATATATATATATATATATGTGTGTGTGTGTGTGTGTGTGTGTGTGTGTGTGTGTGTGTTATGTGGCTCTAGTTTCTTTGTTCGTCGCACAGGAAATGTTAAATGGCATTTCAGGTTCCATATGATTAAGGTTTTGGTTTTATATATTTTACTGTGATTTGTTTTATCCTCAAGGACTCGAAGGAAGTCTCCACTTTCAACCAAGCAAATAAGCAACTACATACTCTGTTAACCTATTTTTGATCTATTCTCTGAGTATGCATGATAGAATGAGTAAGGGTGTACATGTGTGTAGTGAGAATGAAGAGGAAACTATTCATGCAAAAGAAGAAAAATAAACAAGTTACGCATGTAAGCAAAGATGGCGCTTGTCGTAGTGAAATGGTCTCACTATTCATTTGCTCGTGATTTCGATTTTCACGAAGTACTGAACTCTTGTGACTTTTTGCAAAATGCAGTTATCATTCATCAACGTACAGGGAAGCAGTTAAGAAGAATGAAAAGAAAAGAAAAGAAAAGAAAAGAAAAGAAAAGAAAAGAAAAGAAAAGAAAAAAAAGAAAAGAAAAGAAAAAAGAAAGAAAAGAAAAGAAAAGAAAAAAGAAAAAAAGAAAGAAAAGAAAAATGCGTCTACCAACGCATTAACATAAAATATGCGTTTCTTTTATTATTATTTTTTCATCTTTAATCATTTATTAAAAAAATTTCAGGTCAAAAAGGTAAAAGATTATAGCTTTGGTAGGTCCGAGAATAAAATTTTCCATGGCAACAAAGAGGATTTATCAGGCATTGAAGTATTTTTATGAACTCCCATCTGCATAATAAAGAAGTGGTATCCGTTTAGGGGTTTGTATATTACGCTTAACACAGTAAAATAGCATATCCTAGTGAGGTTTTTGTGAGAACAGTTAAAATTCTAACAATAGCGTTTTAATCTGAAGAATAAAGGTTTTTACAGTACAATTTGTAAATTAATAATAATAGTGCGAGGTCTACGTTCGCGCTTACCCCGATAATAATGATTCAATTTTGTATGCTTGTATGTTACAAAAACGAAAAATAAAACAATATCAACAATGGAAGAGGGAAAAGCATTACTAGTTGACGAATAAAATAATGACGCTCGTAAAATAATGGTAGATTTACTTTATGGAAATATATCATTATATTATTTGTGGAAAAATTATATATATATATATATATATATATAATATTATAATTATTTTCTTTTTAAAAATTTGATTCCATCGTGACAGAAAATGTCCATGTTTCAAAATATTTTCTGTGTCGCGATGGAATCATATTTTTAAAAAGAAAATTATAATATTTTGCTCTACTGTTTGCATCAAGCACTGTTTTTCTTTTAAATAAAATTAAATAACTACTAAAACATCGGATTATAAATCTTACTGTTCTTTCTTATTATTTTATTATATATATATATATATATATATATATATATATGATAAAAATATAATTTTAATCGATGGATAAAAGTGCTCAATATCAGGGATAGAGCGTACGTAAATATAAAAATGAACACTGATGTCAACACCAAGCAGTAACTGTCTGCTACATGTCTGAAGATGCCTTTCAAGTATGAAACTTTTGCCACCAAGTGTTCTCAATTTCCACCGATATATTTATATACGCTAAATCCATGATATTGAAAAAAACTTTACTCATAAATATAGTATGCCTCAAAACTATATTTTCATCATATATATATATATATATATATATATATATATATATATATATATATATATATATATAATAAAATCAAAGTAATGGTGAATAGCACAAACAGTAACACCTGTGTCAACATTACCATGAATGAGCATTCACTGGAGGAAGTGTCCAGTTTTAAATACTTCGGAGCAATCTTGTGATGGTACCCGCAACTCGGAAATCCACACACGGATTGTCGCATCCATGACAGCGATGCCCAAATCAGCTTTCCACAAAGTACAGTTTGTACAAATCGCTGGTCATCTCCATTCTCCTATATGGATGTGAAACTTGGGCACTGTTGGCAGATACAGAGAGAAGGAAGCAAGCATTTGAGAATAAATGCATTGGGGAAACTCCTTGCATTTTCTATTGGGAACAAGACAAGAAACAATGAGTTTGCGTGGAAAAGGGTTGAAATTTTTGTGGGACACCAGGAACCTCTTCTCGCCACTGTCAAACGGAGAAAAAATGGTGTGGTTTGGACACATTACAAAGCACGACAGCCTGTGCAAGACCATCATGCAAGGCACCGTTGAAGGTGGACGTAGGAGAGGACGACAGCATAGAAACTGGTTGGACAAAAAATGGATAGTTATGACTGTACTGGAATTTCTGATGGCTGCCGTTAATAGACCGTTGGGAAAAGAGTTAGTGTGGCTTCTGCATTTCGAGTCCGCCCTACGATTACAAATGTCAAAGAAATTATTAGGACTATATATATATATATATATATATATATATATATATATATATATATATATATAATGCATGTTTCATTAAATAATATAGACCAGTTTTGTCTGTTTATTTAAAGTAAGTTCCTTTCATATTGTCTGATAAACTTAATCACATTATCGTTGAAAAACCTCCCTTACTATTCCAACAGCCCTTTTCTATTCGGAACTGTAATGGGGACGGTACTACCTTGAATACTATGTTTTAAGCTATTTGATATGTTCTAACATTGAGCTATATGCTTTAACCAGTTTACTTACTCTACAATTATTATTATTAGACATTGGTGTTTTGGAAACAGATCAACGTGTTGAACCTCTAAGTTGCCAGTCTGCTATCCTTTGTTGTTGTTGTTGTTACAATGTTTCGGACGTCATCAGTTGTATTTCCAACCCGGTAACCTACACGGAATTACGAATTGAACCGTTTATTTAATCTACAAGAGTTCTCATTTCACTGCCCATGTCTAGGGATATCACTCGTCTTGTTCTTATTTTTAGTACCGTTCAGTTATTGCTCGTCCTGATCATTTATAAAGATCAAGACAATTGTGGGCTTGTAAATAGTATAAATGTCAAGTCCTCATCCCAGAAATTCGGACAGAAATGGAGTTTTTTTCACAACTGAACCGTTTATTTAATCTACGGGTGTAGACTGTTTTCGTTCCATTCACTACGCATGTCTAGGGATATCACTGCCCAGAACTTGGATTGAACTCACAATTACTATACCAAATTAAAGAACCAACGCTATATGCTTTAAGCAGTTTACTTACGTTACAGTTATTATTAGACATTGGGGTTTCGGAAACTGAGATCAACGTGTTGAACATCTAAGTTGCCAGTCTGCTATTTTGCACATTGTATATATCTTGTAATGGCTTTATTTATTTTTCGTCAAACAAGAAAAAGATAATCTGAGGATCAAGTTTTTCGTTTTCAGATATGGAATCATGCCTAATAATTTCAATAGTGCTGGTAGATGTGCAGTATCGTTTTTGTTCTTCTTGTCTTAGTTTCCTCGGGACAAACGGAAGGAACAAAACGTACAGACCAATATTTCTTACATTCAAACTTAACCTATTCGAATCTATGAGGATTAACTATCATATAACCTTAACTGAGGCGAATAAGATATTAAAAGTTGTGCGAAATCAATACAAAATGTTACAAGGCAAGTTGGTAGGCAATAAATGAGACCATTTAGTTATTTATTAAGTCACTCCCTATCCACCCAAAATAGGGAAATACTGAGTAAGTCATTATATAAAAAGAATTAATTAATAATCACTCATGAAGATTATTTTAGGGTTACATAGCGAGATAAGAATGCTTGGTGAATTCAACACTCACAGGCTGCATCGAAAGCATACGAATCTTGACAAGTTTAAGTAAATGAATAAAGTAACAAGTATTAAAAAAGCAAAGAGAATTCGTAAAAGAGGAAGGATTGCAGAAAACAACAAAGGAATGTAGATTGTAGAGAACCATGGTCGATCACGTTCCGAAGGGACATAATATAGAGGGATATATATATATATATATATATATATATATATATATATATATATTCAGTTGTAGGGATATTAGGTTGTACCCCTGGGTTTCACGCTTTTGCGATCATCAAACTGGTTTATTTTTTTTTAAATGGATCTATTTATGCTTAGTTGTGTGTGTTTGCTTCAGGTGACACTCTCACACGCATAGAGACACATGCATGTAGGTGTATGCATTTTAGTTTGTACGAACACAACCATGTAAATAATCTGTTGTTACGCGCAGATACACATCCATGCATTCGAGCATATATATATATACGCAATTGTCATTCTATTTCGGTGTCGAGACCTTAGCGTTACATATATAGCGATGTTCTCTTAACAAGGAACAAGTGTGGATGCTCTTAACGTTTTTCATATCATCTGATATTGAGCATTTTTATTCGTAAATATAGAATACCTTAAAACTATATTTTATCATTCATATATATATATATATATTCATTACACACACACACACACACACACACACACACACACATATATATATACATATATATATATATATATATATATATATATATTCATTATAATACCGTACATCCAAGCTTACAGCATCTAGTATTCTCAAACGTTCACCCATCTAGGTACTGACCAGGCTCGACGTGGCTTAACTTCGGTGATCGTGCGTGAACTGTTTTTCAACGTGATGTATGTGTATGTATGTATGTATGTGTGTGTGTGTGAAGAGAGAGAGAGAGAGGGGGGAAGGGAGAAACTAAGATTTTCCTCTTTTAGATAAGGGCCTGATGATGCAATTGCTTAGTTTCGACCACCTTTTTTCATCGACTTTCGTCCTTAGTTGTAACCATTTAATTCTATTCAGCCATTATTGACTTATGAGTTAAACAAAACTTTAAATGCACCAATCCTCCGTTTGGAAAGTGTAATTAATTTAAAAAAAAAAGTTCTATTCTTTTTTTTCCCGTCTGTCGTTTTGGAGGTTTACATATTGGATTTAGGATTGTCAAACGAACCATGTGCATTCCGTAAATTCAAGATTAACCAGTTTGTCATTTGTAGGATCTACCTGATTGTGTGTCACGCGCCATAATGTGTGCGAGACGAAAAATATATTAGAAGCTGTAAAAAATATTAAAAGCTTTAATTAAAATGTTTAACTGTAAACACACGATTATGACAGCAAATAATATGGGTTAATTATGCATATATACCCGAGTAAAGATATGGGCCAAGCCCTAATTGTAAAAATATTAATCTTTTAATGCTCTTAACAAGTCACTGATCATGAAATATGCAATAATTAAACAAAAACATAAAGCAATTATATACAATAGCGTTCCTTATGATTTTAAATGCTCAAGTCTTGTGAGTAAATTTGCAGATAGCATTTTCCAGAAGGAAGAATTAATTTTGCGCTATTCAGTGTTGATGACTTCAGACAGTTGATGAATAATTGAAAAATGTTTCCCCTGTCAGTTTGTTTTTAATGTGAAACCAAATATTGTGTTTTGGGTTCAAATCTTGACTCTGATCAGACCAAAACAAGAGACTACTTGTTCTTAACCCATTTTTGGTGGTATTAGGTTGTTCGGAAAATAATGTCCGGTTTTATCATTAACTTTTATTCTCGAATTAATGTATTTAAACAGTGTTTAAAGCCTGAACATAAATACATTTCTGCCATCGAGTTACAATGTTATTTATGCATTTACGATAAAACTAAAGCTTTGGAAGTCAAGAAATCTTTGAATGCATTTTTTGCATCATTTTTGCAACGGAATGTTTTTTGGCTTTAAAATTTCCCAAGATGCTTGAAAAAGTGGTAATCAGTGGGCAACAAATCAAGGGAATATGATGGATGTGGCAAAGTATTGTATCCTTAGAAAGCTTCTACAGTGTCATCCTGGCAATGTGTCATCCTGGCAATGTGTTCCCGAGTGTTGTCCTGAAGTAGAACTGGACATCGTCGTCTAATCAGTACCGGTCGCATTTTGCTTAACTAAGTGTGCATTCCATCCAGTTGCTGGCAATAATCTTCAGCAGTGATGCTCTGGCTAGGTTCCAGAAAGCAGTAATGGATAACGCCAAGAGAGGGCCACCTGACAGTCACAATAATCTTCTGTGCAATTTCAGTTTTGGAAATTTCTCGGGTGCTTCGTCATGATGAAGTCATTGAGCCAATCGTTTACGATTGTTATAAAAGATCGATTTCTTATCTCAAATCAATGCTCGATCAAATAATGGTTCATTCGAATTTCGCAGATATAGCATCGGACACATCAAACGTCGAACTCTTTTGACTTTCATGTGGAACCCACTTATCGAAGTTCTTCATCTTACCTATTTTCATGAAATCATCCGATATTGATTAAATGCTGACATCCATTATCTGAAACACTTCTCTGACATTCTAACGTGGGTTTTGTTTGACTAATGTTTTCAGATGTTCAATTGCAGATGGACGTCCTCTACCACCTTGATCTTCAAAACTGATATCCCCCCCGGTGTGGAACTTCAGAAACCCATGCCGGACTATCCAATCACAAATGGATCCTTCACTTCTTGATCTGTTAATGTTGGCAGCAGTTTGAGAAGCATTATGACCAAGATTAAACCCACGGAAAAAAGTAAACGCATCTCTTCTTTTTTTCATGTTTAAGATGAATCTCTCGATTATTTTGTTTTCGATTAGTGCGTTAAAATTTTTATATACCACAATTCAATTAGTGCATACATAATACTCGATTAGTGCGGTAAAACGTTATTTAGTGTATCTATAATAATTGAAAATTGTTTTTTATAGTTACCGATTAATTAAAAACTTTCTTAAATTTAAAAATGGAAAATGGGTAAATATTTTATTTGTCAAGTATTAAGTTATCTATGTAATTGCAGTAGTGTTAAAAATGAACGGTTATAAATAAATAAATTTTATAAGTCGATAATAAAAATACATATTTTAATATTTGTCAAAATAAAATTTTTCACTATTAAAAAACATTTCAGATTTTTGTAAAAAAACGTGGGCGATTTAATTTGATTCAGAAATTAACATTTATTGAAAAAATATCGAAATATAAAAGCTGCATGAATTTACTACGGAAAGATTATAAATAATATTTTCAGGTTAAAATAGTAATGATTATTATATGTTTAGAAAAATTGAAGGGACAATTTCCCCAGCACCGCCAATTATATGAAGCATAGAAGAATAACACGCGGGAAATCATTCTAAATAAGGTTTTCATTAAAAAAAAAAAATGAGATTAATAAAAATTAATTAATAGCATTTTTATTGTATCTTCTTATATGACGTTATATTTTAATTAAAAAGTACGCAAATTAGAAACTAATTGTGATTTGACTAAAATTTGAAGTACAAATTACATAATTTCCTATAAATTATTATATTCGATGAATCCCTTTTCGATTAGTGCGAATGTACATATTAACTGCATTAATCGAGGGATTACTGCATATAATTTTGAAGTTAAATTCTGAATAAGATTGATAGAAAATTAACAAAGAAGACACTTTAGTCATTAGGGACGATCAATATATTTTTGGGCAACTCTTATAACCTACTAGAACACAACGGACATTACTTTCCGAACAAGGCCTTCTCGGCGTGGTGCAATGGTTAGCAAGTTTGTCTCGCTAGATCACTTACGACTGAAAATAAGTTCGATCCTCACTAGGTGCTCCATGCTTTCGGCCTTGTGCCACATCTAAGCTACGCTTAGAAAGCAACCTAAAATTTACAATGTCGGTAGGTATGTGGTGAAAAATATCAATAGCATCAATTCGTTTCTCTTTTTGTACAAAAATTAAAAAAAAATGATACAAGACAAAAATGTAGAAAGGGGACGGTGCTGGTCTTCGCTATCAAATTGTTTACTTCGCTTAGCGCATTTAGTAACCCAACCATTTTATATTGTTCTATTAACCATAACATTGCATCTATTCGGAAATATCTCACACTAAAATGCTATTTTTGCCATGAAAAATCTAACTAAGCTCATTTTTTAATTTCATGGGGCGTAACTAAAGTTGTTATTGTACTACGATTATAAAAGAAAAAAAAAAGGATAATTTCATGACGAGGACAAAAATGGCTAAACAAGAAACAGAAATATGGAAAGGTAAAAAAAAAATAAAATAAAATACAGTCCACAGCTAAATTTCACTGGCTTAACAAAAGAAAAACATCACGACCCTCCCTTAACTTGTGTTGGGCTAACATGACATTTTAAGAAGCACAAAATCCTTTTTCTAACTAATTACCGCAAAATGCTACTATAAGTTAACCTCCTCTCACACAGTTACGCAATATTCACTCACTTTTCTCTTATGTCCGTCAAAGAAGTCTCTCCCCACATTCTTATCTTAAAATTAAGCTGATGCTTAAAGGAAGTGATCAGATTATAGAGAGAAAGAAACAAGTCAGCTGAGCTACCTTCACCATTCATATCATGATGATATGAGTGACTCATAGCATCATTCGTGCGACGCCTTTTGGAATAAAATAAAACCTTCCTATTAAAAATTATGCCACTGAATTTTCTTCTTAGGTAAAAGCCAGTATCAATGCTTTTGTGCAATCTTCTCATTGCTTCACATCTGCCTGTTCAGCCGCTATAGCACACAGGAATCATTTTGTCGGGTGTATCGATGTGATATTTCTGATAGATTTGATCACAACAGACGCCATTTTGTGTCCACTCATAGTAGTTATAAACGTGCCCTCAATGACGCAAAGTGTTCGTTCGATGACAGAATGAGGTACCGTATAGCCTCTAACAAATTTGCTTCTTATGGCTACTGGCGACGCTGTAACAATGGGTTAATAAATATTCTATCCCTCATCTCTTCACTCAATTTGAGGTGTTATCATCTAATGATAAAGCAGAATGCGTGGTTCGTAAATTTTCTTCCAAATTTCCTCTTAACTCATCTGGAGTATATTTGCTTGACTTACAACTGAGACTCTACTGTGTGATATGTGTATACATCCTTGTGAAAATTAATTGAAACAACTGCTTTAGTTTCTTTTCTTTCGTCATACGGTCAGTTTTAGACTCACTAAAGTGACAGGGTATAATCGATTTCTATTTTTTCCTCAGATTAGGCCATTTGCAGTGGTGTGCAGTAATATGAATCGGGGTGTATGATGAAATTTTTTTTGCCTTGAAAAATATTGTGTCATTCGTGATTGCATCAGATTTTTAATACGCCGACTATCGATTAGTTGTCCTACGGCCATTGTCTGCGATGGATGTTACTCCGAGGAAGCGTCCGAAAATTTGTAACGCTGTACGAACACACTGGAAAGCTTTACCAGTGAGCAAATCAAAGTACTAGACTGTCCCGGAAACACTGCTGATTTAAATCCAATCGAGAATCTATGATCAATCTGCAAGGGACGACATCGTGGAATGGACAGACGAATTACTAACATGTGCAGTGGATCATGTTTCATTGGAAAAATACGAAAAAGGTAAATAATAACGGAATTATTATTTTTGTTTCACATAATTTTCACAATGATGTAACTCCGTTCATGGTTTTTGCTATAATCTCTAAACTGGATCTCCACAAAGCATGCTGACTTAAAGAAATGTACTCTCGAAATAGCCCCTTTTCTCTCGAAACTCTATAATATATGCTTTGCTG